CGCGGTGGGGGGGGGGGGGTAGCCTGTTTCGCACCCGGGCTATGGGACACGTGGTGTATGCAGCGGCATGTGCCGTCAGTCACAGCTTTGCTACACTTAGTCCCTGTGCCAAGGTGTAACTTGTAAGTTAGGCACAGCAAGCAACAAAATAACGAATAGCAACATAGAGGTTCTATATCAATATGTAGTAAAGTTATGTGCATGTGTGTGAATGTGGCCTGTCTCTCACACTATCTTAGTGTATTTGCCTGTCTTCAGGCTGTGGTTGACTCTGGGCAATTGAAACCACAGCCAAGGGTGACAGAAGAGCCAGAAAAAGATCCATTCACAGCAGGTGCACAGAGCAGTCAGGCCAGGCAAGGGGGACCATTCGAGGGGGCTGTGGAGGTCTGATTATACCCAGAAGCCCCCTGTCAGTTGCAGAAGCTGCTGCTACTTACTAAGCCAATTCACAGCAGGTAGCTCATGATTCTCACAAGGAAGATGATGTGAGGAAGTCAGGACGGATGAGGAAATGGAGGGAGCGGAGGCCCGGAGGATACGGGACTTACCTGGGAGCACACACCCACTGGGTCAAACACTGGGCTTGTGTTCCACCCCACCCCCACTCCCCCAGTTCTGGAGGACCTCAGTTCTCTGCAATCCTCCCCTTACCCCCACATGTATTCTGGGTCCTCAGGGAGCAGTTCTGATGTCCAGTCAGAGACCACCTGTGGCATCTGTACTATTCTTTTCTTTCTCCTCTGCATCCTCTTCTGGGTATTCCAGTTCATGGGGAAACTCAGTGGGGTTGGGACAAGCACAGTAGGGAGAAGGAAGACCACCCTGAGAAGGTAGGAAAACACCTGCATGGTTCTGCAAGGGGAACCGAGGTGTGGGGATGCCCTGGAAGCTGAGAGATACCTGCCAGTGGACCTAGAGGTTCAGTGGGGAATTGAGGTGGTGCTGGAGCATTTGTGGGTGATGGGAACTGGAAAGCCAAGCTAAGGCTTGTAGACACAAGAGACTCTCTATAAGCAGAGTAGGGGGTGGGGATGGCCCTGCCAGGCAAACAGGCATGGGGAGACCTCTTAAGAGGCACTGATAGCCGTCCTGAAATGAAGGCCCTGCTGGGCACCCACGTGCCTGGAACTGGAAGTGCCCTTGGTGGGAGGCTGTGAGGGCACCCAGATGGACAATCCGAGAGGCTGACTTGGCTGGGAGAAGAGGATCCCCATATTGGTGGATGTTAATGTGCTCTGGTTGGATCTGTTGAGTTTGGGGTGACCATGGAGTTTCTGGGTGAAGCTGTCCTAGTGGTCTGGTATTCCAGAAGCAGGGACACAGTCTAGGATTCTACATTCTCCCTGGGCTGCTGGTGCCACAAGGGAAACTGCCCGGGACCAGCCTGAGCGTTGGGACCTGCATTGTTCTGTGTGCATGAAGATTCAAAGAGTTCTGGGGGACCAGCAGTTAGCGTAATGGCTATGTTGCTGGACTCCCATGTAGTCGACTGTGGTTCGCATCCCGGACTCGGTGGCTTAAAAAACTCACACTAGGTGTGTGTGCGTGTGTGCCCAAGATCCCGAGAGGAGAACGGAGGAGAAGGGATTGCGGTGTGGCCCTCCCCCCTGGGGGGTGATTTCTCACTTTCTGTCTCTCTGTCTCTCTCTGTCTGGTGAGCACTCGTGCCCTATAGCAAGAAAAAAAAAAAAAACTCTCAAAAAAACA